GAGAGAAAGAGAGAGAGAGAGAGAGAGAGAGAGAGAGAGAGAGAGAGAGAGAGAGAAAGAGTGAGACAGAGAGAAAGGATGGATGGAAAAGGAAGAAAAGGAAATAAAGAAAGTAGAATAGATCTAAGAAGTAGGAAGGAATTAAGGAAAGAAGAAAGGAAGGACGAACGGACTGAATCGATGAAGGAAATAAGCAAGTTTACGTGGATGGAAGGAACGATGGAAAGAAAGAAAGAAAGAAAGAAAGAAAGAAAGAAAGAAAGAAAGAAAGAAGGATTAAAGAAAGAAAGAAAGAAAGAAAGAAAGAAAGAAAGGAGGATGAAAGGAAGGAATCAATGAAGGAAGAAGAGTTGAAAGATGAAATTAAAGAAAGAATGGAAAGAAAGAAGGAGTAGAGGAATGTACCAAGGAAATAAGGAAGGACAAATGGAAGAATTAAAGGAAAAAGAAAGCAGGACAAATACAAGGACAGTGGGATTAAAGACAAAAGGAAGGATGGAAAGACAAAATGACGAAAGAAAGAAAGAAAGAAAGAAAGAAAGAGGTTGTTTTTTTTGTGAACTTTTTGCCATTGAGCAGAAGTACAGAAAGTTCCAGCCTTGTTGTGAGCTATTGGTAACGAATACATGCAAATTAATGCTATACTGTACTCATAAAAATGAAGGCTCTTTATTGGCATCGATGGTTCCATGAAGAATCTTTAATATCCATAGAAACTTTCCATTCCACAAAAAGTTATTTGGATTGTTAAAATATTCTTCACACCAAAAAAAAAAATGGTTCAAGAAATGTTCACTGAAAGGCTCTTTGGAGAACTATGAAGGAAGAAGAGTTGAAAGATGAAATTAAAGAAAGAATGGAAAGAAAGAAGGAGTAGAGGAATGTACCAAGGAAATAAGGAAGGACAAATGGAAGAATTAAAGGAAAAAGAAAGCAGGACAAATACAAGGACAGTGGGATTAAAGACAAAAGGAAGGATGGAAAGACAAAATGACGAAAGAAAGAAAGAAAGAAAGAAAGAAAGAAAGAAAGAAAGAAAGAAAGAAAGAAAGAAAGAAAGAAGA